TTAATACTTCATTGAATCTATACATAATTTATGAAGACTTAGACTGACTAACATAGTAAAATATTGTTCTTGGTGAGCATCTCAAAATGAACGAAAAGTGTTCCATCTTTAAATCCTGCTTCTTCTAAATGTTTCCTTACTGTATTGAATTAATGATTTGTTATCTCATAGTACTGACCTTTGGTGAATTATTGCATAATATTTCAATAAATAGCTTCTGAGACTCCAAAATTAAGGGCCATGATTTTTTTACATATTACATGCAAAATTGCCCTAGGGAAGTTGACCCTTAAAAGTATATTTAAAAGTGTTCAGAAGTTATTTATCGATAATTTATGTTACTGTATATGTCCCTAATGGAAGTGTAAACGATGATGTTGATATACACTTTACGTATATTGTTTAAAAAGTAGTCCATAGATGGCAGAACGGTAGGAAAAGAGCAATTTATATTACTGAACTTTAGATGATCAAACTATAAGACCAAGTTTATCTCATCGTCATATAAAATATTTTTGTCATAGTTATGAACGAGTTAGTTGGTATAATATTTTTAGTGACTTACGGACTACAGAAATGACAAGCTTATTATCCCATCATGGGCCTCGCCCTCTTAAAGTACCTACGTTAGTCCTAAATCAACTGACGAAGCAATAATGAAAATTATTAATCATTTTTAGAATCATCTTGGAAGTTGAAATATATTAATGTTTGTTGTGGTGTTTAAAAAAAAAGCTTAAAATTGATGACATGTGGTAGAAATCATGGAATTATGCCATAATTTGCTTTCACGTGAAATATTAATGCATGTGGTCGTGTAATTGGAGCAGGTGGTTAATTAAAGTTTAAATCTAGAACATAAAGCCATTTTATGTGAACCTAGTATTTTACCAGTGGTATAGGAAGGAGTTGCAAAGTGGGGGTGCTTGGCTAGACATGCAGATAATATAATAATATATTTTACAGTTGTTATATAAGTCAAATATATAAAAGTGTGTGTGTGTGGGGGGGTATTTTACCAGTGGTATAGGAAGGAGTTGCAAAGTGGGGGTGCTTGGCTAGACATGCAGATAATATAATAATATATTTTACAGTTGTTATATAACTCAAAGATATAAAAGTGGTGGGGGGGGGGGCTATAGCACTCCCAGTTCCGACGGTTTTATCATAAAAACCTCTATAAACAAATCAGCGGTAAGATTCGATTCCCTGTGGTGGATAGAGCGCAAAGAGACCCATAGTGTAGTTTGCGATAAAATAGAAAAACTTTTAAAGTAGCGCTACAAGGCGAAACGAAGGGATTAAGAAAATGATTTCTGGAGGTTTAAGTAGTATTTTTAATACATTTTTATCTACATTCCTATTTATGCGCTTAGTTTTCATAATTAGTGTTTATAATTATCTAGATTTATGTGAAGAAGAATTGAATGTTAGAGATAGTGAGAAGGCAGTCCATTGTTTTGTAATATGAGATTATACAAGTGAATGCAGAAGCATAACTGTTAAAATTCTTAACTTTGAGCAACAGTGAACTGAAACCAGAACATAATATTTTTTTGCTAAAACTTATTGTTAGTAGACAGCAGTTTAATTAAATCTCAGTACAAGTTAATTACCAAGGTTTGAAATTAGAGTTGAAATTACGGCGAATTAATACAGTACAATGTAATCTAACTATTTTATATCAAAAATACGTATAATGAGTACATAACATTAGTTGTTTGGGCCTTGATTGAATTTAACTAAATTATGTACATAAGTATGTGAAAATAGTCATTCTGTAATTAGTTACAAGTCAGTACGTTACCAAAGGAGTTAACTTATCAATCCATCTTTCAAAAAAGGTATTAACTATAATTTTCAACATTTGATATTTATTTTTACACTAGAATGCAGGCCAACCGAGATAGTAAAATGTATTATACCCAAATAGTTTGCAAATCAGTCTAAAGATAGCAGCACGGTAGTAAGTAATTTTAAAGATTATAGATAAATAAACACAAAGTACAGACAGACACCTTGTTTGTTCACTTTCGATTACTTGGGGAAAAGTTAAATTTTAATTATTCGTTATACAATATTTTTATGCCACCGTATACTGTTTTATATAGCTCAGAGTCAGTTACTGAATACTTTTACAGAAAACAAGATAACATACAAGCGACCAATTTGTACTTTTTGGAATGTAAAGCATTTTTGGCTGGTTTGTATTAGAAGAAAACCAGCTGTGTAAAATATTAACACATTCTCAATCTAGAGTGTTATTCATTGAGGTTGATTAGAATGTGATACCTTTTAAAAGGGTCTAGCATAGTCTAATGGTCAGGACGACCAGCTCGTAATCTGTAGGTCGTGGGATTGAAATTCACCCTCGAGCATGTTTGCCATTTATATCGTTTGGGGCGTTATAATGTGAAGGTTAATCCCATTATTTGGTGGTAAAAAGTAGCCCAACAGTCGGCAGTGAATGTTGTAAACTAGCTACCTTCCCTCTAATCTATCACTTGAAAAATAGGGATGGCTAGCGCAGGTAGACCTCGAGTAGCTTGCTTGAAATTACAAAAAAAAAAAACCAGACAAAAATCCACATATATTTTTAGTTTTATGCTCTAACAACATATTACTGATATGATGTGCGCAACAAGTATCCAATAAGTAGTATAGTTTTTATTAAAATTTTGTTTTTAGCAAACATACTGTCCACCTATACCAAACCAGAAGATATCACTATGGTGCGTTATCAGATCTACAGATCTGACAGAAGCATGTTCGGAAATTAAATATTTCTCAGTCAAACAAAATTCTGTATCATTTACAGTGTTGACGTAAATTACACTTAAACGTCGTGTATCAGAAACTTAGGATAGGTGAACGTCAAACAGGTCACTGATATTTGTTAATTTAACAAGTTACGAGTAGTAAAATCAAGAAGAAATTGATTTGTGCAACTTTGTTGTTGGTGTTGTGCAAAGCCGTTTAACTTTTTATCTAGGTTCGTGGAAACTTTAATTGATTATGAACCAGTTTCGCTGCTGACATCAGTTGCCTCACTTTACAGGCGGGCCGAGCGTGGCCTAGTGGATTGCGTGCTGGACTATGAATCCGAGGGTCTACGGTTCGTATTCAGTTGCTGCATAACAAGAAATTTGCTCCACACTTTAGGACCGTGCGTGCGTTATAAAACAGCGACTTTTAAATCTAACTATTCGATTAGAGTATCGTAAATGTTGGCGATGGGTACTGTTGACTAGCTGCCTTCCCTCTAGTTTATGAGTTCACAATTAGGGACGGTTTGCGAATTTACACGAACTTCCGAAACAAACAGCTTTTTATTCAATACATAATATTTAAATTTCTTAAATACACTATGATTTTCAGTTATTCTCGTTATTAAAAAAACAAACAGTTTCATTGGGGGATCCAAAACATGCTTGTGTGAGTACATATTTATATTCGTCTCATATGCGGATAACATTTAATTCACAGCACAGAAGTCTTGGATTCTTTCAGAGTCAGGGTGCCATGCTTATGTGCTATTAATATATATATATATATATATAGTTGAGCATTAATCTGAAACAGATGAAGTAAATATGCTGCTGTCTTTTGGGTCACCCTGTATTATACACGGTATAATAAAAACAAAACATTCATACCAATGAGAAACAGTATAAGAAATACGCCAGGATACTCTCCAAGATCTTACTTATCAATACTTTAGACAGCCGAGGTCATGAAATATTGATATGACAGAACGCACAGAAAGATGTTTCTGAATTATTAAGAAAATACTATTTTAATTATCGCCTAACCGCGCGCACAGCAATCCATCATAGTCCTATTAGGTAAACACTCTGTCTCCGGCACCACTACACTTCTTTTTCCGAGTTCTGATTTTGTCGTTTTTCATAGTAATTTCCGGTGGAGGGGAAGGGAAGCGTACTCGCCGGTCTTGTGAAATAAATTACGGTAGATTTAGTTGTTGCTGTGAGGGTAAAGAATCTCCCTTGTCTGTTGTGCATGACTGTAACCGTTTATTACACGTTGGTAGGGGAGAACGGAAAACAAAAAAAATCGTAAAAAATGGGCTGTGTTTGCACTCTAATCTACTTTTAGGAAGAACTCGTTTTCAAAACCCGCCAAGATTACAAAGCCACGTAGGGAGAAAATCCAAATTTAACAATGTCGTCTTAGCTGCTGACATGGTATATTACATTGTGTTGACTAATAACGTTGAAGAGTAGTATATAAAGATGCTAGAGTCTAACCAATGATTTACTTTGTCCTGTTGTCATTATTGTAGTACTCATTTTAAAATTTGATAATGAAATACAGCGTTGATAAATAAGATTCATTACGAAGTAACACTTTTTTTTTAAATCTGATAATGTAACACCAACGATAGGTGTCGTGAAGTTGTGTTAAGAAATTTTCCCACATAATTATACATTTTTGTTAACGTAATTTCCGGACATCATGGACGCTTGGAGCTAATGGCAAAAATCTACATGTAATTTACCGCCAGTTTGACGTATTTAATTATACTGTGACCGTGTCAGTGTTTTAGGAATTATAATTATTGTACAGGCCGTTTCACTCGTTTAGCTAATGGGGAAATGTACGTGTGATTTATGAACGGTTTCATATAGCGACAATGTCAATATTTGGGGAATGATAGTTATTGGATAAGGCGTTTTTAATAAACATTTTTGAGCTTTGATTACATTTTCCGTTAACGTAAAAGAATAAGTTTGATGTGTTTATATACAGTACTTAATTGAATAAAATATAAAAGTAGTTTCCATTAAGCTAGGCAGAAAAAGGCTTTTTTGTTGTTTTCTGTTCAGTCGATCAATATCGTATTTAACATGGAATTATTATAAAACACATACATACATTTTTGATTATGTTTTGAAATGCCGGTCAATTAGTACATCGTGCTTATACTTGTAGCATTAAAACCTGTGTAATATTTCGTTGTTGTTGTTTTTTACATATAGCCGGGGTGAGTTAAGCTCGTGCTGGTACATTCTTCTGTCTGGTTCTGTTTTCATCGATGGGTCGATGTTCTTGCCGAGAAGCAGGTAAGTGCACTATTTTATTCAGAATACTGTATTCAGTAGTCAGCTATGAGTATAGCTTGGGTCAATAACGTTGGCTGCAACAGAATTTCTTGTGCCACGTTATAAGTTTTCTCAAACCAGGCTTAGAATTTAGCAGAAAAACAAATCCTATACCGAAAAATAGAAGGAGTGCGCATTAGTGTTTTATAAACTGTACAGTTATATCATTCTTTATTAATCATTGTGGACTTTCAACCCCTTCTCATAAGTTATGTGATACACCGTTGCACATGTTTCATAATTTATAAAACTGAAACATTGAAGAAAAAAAAATGCAAGGAATAGAACCGCTAGAAATATTAAAGAATACATTTGATTTGTGAGGAATTGTTGGACGTTACCCTATTCACGCGCCGTATGAAAACTCAAGTTTATGGTTCAGTCAAAAGCACTAATGAAATGGGATATCCGTTCTTCTTTTATTTGTCATTTCCGTGAATAATTTATAACTTATCAAACTGAAGGATCTTGTTCAATTAGTTACACATTAATCTCTTACTGTATGGTACATTCAGGCATTTGGATTCGTGTTGATTGTTTTGGCAATTTTATTCTTGTTTCATTTCGAATAAAATAATCTGCCCGCAGAAAGTTAAACTTCATAAATGGCAGAATAATACTAACGAAATAGTAGTCATGTGTGAAAAGAAATACAGTTATCGTTGTGTAAGTTGTTCAGTGTCTGCTACAGAAATTTTTTTTATTATAATGGATTGTTGGAAGTTCTGTCAAATGGCTCCATCTTGCCACTTCCATTTCACGTCCTGCTGGCGATAGATTGAAAATTATCGTAATCTTGAACAAGGGCTAGGCTTATTGGAATGAATGTAATAATGATAATAAATACTATTTCACGTCATTGTGATAAGAATTATTTTAGAAGTGGTTTCATCAGTTCAGGAATAAGTTTTAACGAATTTGGGGGAAATAAGAGGATAGTTATTGTGAATGTCAAAATAATTTCCGACCATTACCACCACCTGAAATAAGTTTTGAAGATCATTTCCTGGAAAGGGATTAATTAGGGGAAAACAACACAACTCTCGTAAATAGTTGTCGAAAAGCATGAAAGTCTTAAGTAAGATAAAAGGGAATTTAGATTTGTAACAAAACCATCCCGTCACATGATTTATCACCGTATTATATTTAACTGTATTTTTGAGTTATTAGCAATTAATTCAAACACCCTTAGCAGTTACGCAAATGCCTTCTGTTGTATACATGGTAAAGTTGGTTCGGAAAGGGTGGTAGTGCTCGCATTGATTCCCTCAATTATTAAACAAAATCTGATTTCATGTACATGTTGTGAGCACGTGCTATGAAAGAAAATGTGTTATGGACTTTTATGTTTAGCGTTTTCAGTTAGATTTTACTCACTACAGTAAACTATATTTATATAGGATATGAAGATTATGTAGTACTCATGCTAATGACTTGTTTTTCTGAATTATTTTGCATAGATGTTTAATATACTAAAATTCGCCGAAATCGGTATAACTCTGTGACAAGTGGTGAATCCAATGATAGATTGGGTTCGATATTTATTTTTAGCAATCGCGATTTTGTTTATTATTATTATTTTACTTTTAATATTACGAGAAATTTGGGAAAAGATGGTTACTCAATTTAATTTTTCATTTCTGCTTTCCAAAGATTTTTCTTTTTCAACTTGTACACGACAGTGTTTTGAATCACACACGATGAAGATAATGTTCGCCAACCTATCAACAGATATTTTGAGTGTTCCGACTGAAGTAGCAAAATGATTTTTAATATAGAAAACCTGGACTCACTTTTTTCCAGGCATTTATCCTGCTGCTATAACTTTGTAAAAACTTTACAGGAAGGGTAATAGCTAATAATAAACTATCGTTGAATAGCTAATAATAAACTATTGTCGACAGTGGGAGCCTATTTATTGAGTTTTAAGAATAAAATACGACCGGGCATTGTCTAATGGTTAACGTGTCTGGCTATGAATCCAAGTATTCGTGGTTCGTGTCCCGTTGCCGCAAAACACACTTCGCACGTTGGGGCCGTAGGTGCGTACGCTATTAGAAAATTATATGCTATGTGCAGATAACCCTCGTATGACTTTATTCAAAAAACATCAAGAGAATATAATAATAGTAATGTGAATACGTAATCCCCCCCCCATTTTATTTTCATAAAATAAATCTGATAATTAATGTTTCCTGGATGACTTTTCCAAGGTTTACATCTGACCCTATACAGCTTTTCACCTGTACAAGAACACCAGTCATTCTCAGGACTAGTATACAATTTAATTTGCGTAAGAAGACGTACAATGTAGGTTTGATATACCTGTGGTGATATTGTACCTCAGTATAACCACTTTGCGTTGCTACAGTTCGTCCATGTTGGATGTTGTTGAAGAAATTGATTATTTAAACATTAGTGTCCCAATAATATGTGTTTAATAAAAATATGATGTGTTATCTGTATATCTGTCCATTTTCCTCGCCTTATTTATCACTCCCTATAAAAGGCTAATTCCCTTTGTCACTGTCGAGAACGCTTTCAATGCTCCTTTTTTGGTAAAGCTCAACAACATCCATCGTCGCTTAGCAACAAAACTATCACCTGGTTGTTCTTAGGCCAACTATGGTGTTTATGTTGAATGCACAATATTCTTAGAATATAAAGTAGTGGTAAAAACTCGCCATATTAAAATAACTTTATTAATAAAACAAGAAAATGACGTTTCGGGCAACAGCCCTTCATCAGCTAACCAGTGGCAATGTAACTACGAATTTAACTATTTTTGTGAATAATGTACAAGCTAGATCGCTACCAGACAAATGCTTACTGTGTAGTAGCGAGTTACTACATTTACTAAACACATCTCGGCAGCAGGATATCGCTGGTTCAATCCACGTCCCACCAAACATATTCGTTCTTTCAGCCGTGGGGGGGGGGGGGGCGTTAAAATTTGACGGTCAATCCCACTATTCGTTGGCAAAAAAGTAGCCCAGGAGTTGGCGGTGGGTGGTGATGACCAGCTGCCTTCTTTCTAGTCTTTCATTTCTAAATTAGGGACGGCTAGCGCGAAATTGGAAACAAACCAAACCTTCTGTTTCTTTTTTTTTTTTGTCTTGTGCTCGTTTTTATTTTCGATCGTGAATATCAGATGATATTTTCTCTAACATTTACTGTTTGTTTATTATCTCTATGTAGAATGAAACACGTTTATATATATATATTTATCAAATGATGATCTGAACTGATTTGTTCAGCTATTTTACCATTAACATTTCACATTATAATGTAATCAAGAAAGAGTCAAATGAAGAACTAAAGCGAAGTTTCTCCTTATAGATACTAGTTAACCTGAAAATTAACCGTGGTTAGAAATGTGCATAACAAAAGTACCTACTATGGCTTTAGGAGCTTTGAACGTTCATACGGCAGGTGCCACGTGGGCTGTTATTGTTTTTATTCCCCAACCTTTATAGCCACGTGCATAATACATTGGTCTGGCCTCGCCTGCAGGCAGTGGATGGAACAGTCAAAATATGAATACCAAGCCGAGGCGGGGATGAATCAATTTAACATTGTATACCTTGCATCGTGTGGTTGGTGGTGTGTTCTTGCTCGGCGTCTTTTTTTTTTCACAGTCTTTTCGGAGATAGCAATTGCTTTAAGGAATGTGAATGTTTCTTCTTAATGTTTGTCCAGTGCACTTGCGAGTTTCGTGACTTGATTGCCTTGGCCCAACTGATGATTCTGGTTCGCACCAACCTGTTATGCAGAAACTTTGCGTTTCTGGATTTGGAGGAAAGGTGATAAAAAAATTAACATGATAATTATAACGCGGCTTTCTAAACATCTTTATGTATGCTTTTCTAATATATTGTTTATAACTTTGATTGTTGGTTAATGTATTTATACTACATTTCGTATTAAAGTTGTAGTTTTACAGTGAGCTTAAGGAATAAACTTAGACAAAAGATATTGTTTTTGTAATCAGGTATATCAATCTGAGGTTTAAAGCGTGGGCTTTCAGATTAGCTCCAGTGTTTGATTATGATACATAATGAAGGGTAAAAACACATTCGGTCTAGTAATTATAGGAGGTTGCGATCCCTGGATCTCGTATGCAAGTGGGGCTAACCAAATCTCGGGATTCATAGGAGATAATCCCAGGATTTTAGGATTGTATGACGAGAGGGCTGTCACTGATATTCTCTATTTTTTTTCCCTCTCACAAGGCGACACTTCAGAAAATTGCATGAAAAGTTTTAACAAATGCGATTTCTTGATTAAACAATATTTAATACTAATAGACAGTTACTATACCCAATTTTAATTTCTTACACTAGATACTGAAGAAATCTTGTTAGATAATAGTGACGCACGTACAAATGGGATGCGATTCAAACGTTCACGAGTTAAGATAAAACAGTTTTAATAACAAATTCGATCGTGCAAATACTAAAAGTTTTACCGATCTCCAGTGTTCGCTTTATTTTTTAATCATTTAAGTTAGATAAGAAATACAGATATGTTAATTGTTTTGATTAGACAAAATATAATGTAAATAAAATATTTAGAATGTGATTGAAGGCAGGTTTGCCTGCTAATATTTTTTGCCACGACCCACTTTGTTATCCATTTCGAATTTCAAATCAGAAATGTATAAAAAGAGCATTCTTGTGTTGATCGTTTTGAGTTTCTGCATGATTAAGTAACAGACACGATCTTGAAATTAAGTCGCGAAATGCTTTGGGCTATTTTTTTATCCAAATTCACAATCGGAAAGCTATGTAACAATAAGCATGACAAGTTACAGAAAAATATTGTTTAACCTAGAACTAAATGATATTGTTTAACCTAGAACTAAATGAATCGTGAAATGCAACAAGCTCACAGGTAATGACATGAGTAGATGATCTAAGAACATATGTTTTTAACGTGTTGTTTTACAGACCATGTACATA